TTTTTATTACATTTCCTGTTATCAAGTCACCAATCAGTCCCAAATTACAGTCCATCCTAATAGTGTTCTTTGAATTTAATCAGTGTTTAAAGAGCCCACTTCCAAAGCATGCATACTGTAAGGTATTAGGGGGTTAAGGTTCCATATATAAATTTAAAAGTAGCACAATTAGGGCCCAAACAGTCATACAAATCTAACAAAATATATGTAGTAAATGTATGTTTAAAGGCTTTAACACCCCCTCCCCCCAAAAAACACTAAAATAACCTACTGGAGAAATATACTTTTATACTGAATTGGAAGACATGATAGAGCTAAGATTTCAATTTTCAATAGTATTATTGAGTAAGTAACTGAGTAGTATTCATACCAAACTCATCAGGATTGATGGAAATTGACAACTTGACTATAAAAGCATAAAAACTATTTAAAAACAAACAAACAAACTGAAAAACTTACCCTACCCTATTTCAAGTACTTACTAACAGACTATTGTATAATTATAACAGAATGCTACTAAAAAAAAAGAAACGATATAAATGGAAAAGGCAGACATAGCAGTCACTGAAAAAGAACAGAAACAAACACACGCATATATAATCCATTCATGGGGGAAATGCATTTAAAAATAATAAGATTGACATAATTAGAAAGACAGATGTAAAAAGAGACTGAAGACATTAAAGGATTACGTTGAAATATTAATGTAAAAATTCATATACACTTATAAAGCAACTCTAAGACTACTAAATTTTTAGAATAAAACACAGGAAAAAAAAATCCCTTGGGCTGGAGAGATAGCTCAGAGGTTCAGAGCACTAGCTACTCTTCCAGAGGTCATGAGTTTGACTCCCAGCACCCACATGGTGGCTCATAACGATCTATAATGAGATTTGGTGCCCTTTGCTGATGTGCAGGTGTACATGCAAACAGAACATTGTATACATAATAAATAAATCTTTTTAACAAAAATCTGTCAACTTTATTAGTAGTTGAAGATTTAAGAAATGTTGTATTAAAAAGCTTCATTTAAAAAGAAAATTATAGCTGGGTATGGTGGCGCCACTGAGCCATCTCTTCTGGCTTTGATTCCCATAAGAATTATGTTTAAAGGCATTGCAAGCCTGTAATCCCAGCACTCAGAAGGTAGAGGGAGTCTCTGTGCTTTTGAGGCCAGCCTGACCTACAAGTGAGTCCAGGACAGCCAAGACTACAGAGAGAAGCACTGTCTTGAAAAAAACCAAAAACAGACAAGCAAACAAACAAATGGATCAATTAATAATTCTCTTTCACCAAAATTAAAAACATATGCACTTCAAAGATTTAATAAAACAAAATGATCAAATACAAAGTAGAAAATAATAGTGTAAAACACTAAAGTGATCAGGGATAATAGGACAGTATATCAGCAATTCATTACCAAATGGATTGGAGAATAGGGATTCAAATTAGTTTTGCATTTTTTTAAATTGTAGATTACTTGAAAAGAAGCAAATTTAATAAACTACGAATAAGTCAAGAGGGCGAGAACTGAAGAAAAATGAGATTAGATAACTTCTTTAGTTCTTTATATATATTGGATATCAGCCCTCTGTCAGATATAGGGTTGGTGAAGATCCTTTCCCAGTCTGTAGGCTGTCATTTTGTTCTGATAATAGTGTCCTTTGTTTACAGAAGCTTTTCAGTTTCATGAGGTCCCGTTTATTGATTGTTGCTCTTAGAGCCTATGCTGTTGGTGTTCTGTTCAGGAAGTTGTCTCCTGTGCCAATGACTTCTAGGCTCTTCCCCACTTTTTCTTCTAACTGATTTAGTGTATCTGGTTTTATGTTGAGGTCTTTGATCCACTTGGACTTTAGTTTTGTGCAGGGTGATAAATATAAATCTATTTTCATTTTTCTGCATGTAGACATCCAGTTAGACCAGCACCATTTGTTGAAGATGCTGTTTTTTGTTTTTGTTTTTGTTTCCCCCCATTGAATGGTTTTGGCTTCTTTGTCAAAAATCAAGTATTCATAGGTGTGTGGGTTTATTTCTGGATCTTCTATTCGGTTCCATTGATCCACTTTTCTGCTTCTATGCCAATACCATGCCGTTTTTATTACTATTGCTATATAGTACAGCTTGAGATCAGGGATGGAGATACCTCCAGATGATCTGATGTTGTAGAGGATCATTTTAGAAATTCTGAGTTTTTTGCTTCTCCATATAAGTTGATAATTTTTCTTTCAAGGTCTGTAAAGAATTGTGTTGGTATTTTGATGGGAACTGCATTGAATCTGTTGATTGCTTTTGGCAGAATGGCCATTTTCACTATGTTAATCCTACCGATCCATGAGCACAGGAGATCTTTCCATCTTCTCATATCTTTTTCAATTTCTTTCTTCAGGGACTTGAAGTTTTTTTTCAAACAGTCCTTTCACCTGCTTGGTTAGAGTCACCCCAAGGTACTTTATATTAGTGGCTATTGTGAAGGGTATTGTTTCCCTGATTTCTTTCTCGGCCCTTGTGCAGTGGGTATACAGGAGGGCTTCTGGTTTGGTTGTTTTTTTTTTTTTTTGAGTTAATTTTGTATCAAGCCACTTTGTTGAAGTGTTTTGTTCAGCTGTTTACCAGCTGAAAGAGTTCTCTGGTTGAATTTTTGGGGTCACTCATGTGTACTATCATATCATCTGCGAATAATGAAACTTTAACGTCTTCCTTTCTGATTTGTATCCCCTTGATCTCCTTATTTGTCTTATTGCTCTAGTTAGGACTTCAAATACTATGTTGAAGAGATATGGACAGAGTGGGCAGCCTGGCCTTGTCCCTGATTTTAGTGGGGTTGATTTAAGTTTCTCTCCATTGAGTTTGATGTTGGCTATAGGCTTGCTATATATTGCCTTTACTATGTTTAGGTATATGCCTTGTATCCCTGATCTAAGACTTTAAACATGAATGGGTGTTGGCTTTTGTTGAAATAATCTCCATGACCACCATGGACTAAAGCTAGACCTCAACAACAATGGAAACAGCAAAAAGCCTACACACACATGGAAACTGAACAACTTGCTACTCAGTGACAGCTGGGTTAAGGAAGAAATAAAAAAAGAAATTAAAGACTTCCTAGAATTCAATGAAAATGAAGGTACAACATACCCAAATTTATGGGACACAATGAAAGCAGTGCTCAGAGGGAAATTCATAGCACTAAGTGTTTTCAAGAAGAAATTTGTAACATCTCATACAAGCAACTTAATGGCCCAACTAAAAGCCCTAGAAAAAAAGAAGCAGAAACACCCAAGAGGAGTAGACAGCTGGAAATAATCAAACTCTGGGCTGAAATCAATCAATTAGAATAATTGAAAATAAAACTAATCAAAGAATTAATGAAACCAAAAGCTGGTTCTTTGAGAAAATCAACAGATAGACAAACCCTTAGCCAAACTAACTAAAAGGCAGAGAGAAACTATCCAAATCAGCAAAATCAGAAATGAAAAGGGGGACATAACTACAGACACTGAGGAAATCCAAACAATCATTAGGTTGTACTACAAAAGCCTATATGCCACAAAATTTGAAAATCTAAAAGAAATGGACAATTTTCTTTATAGATTCCATCTACCAAAATTAAGTCAAGATCAGGTAGAAAGATTGAATAGCCCTATATCCCCCAAGGAAATTGAAGCAGTCATTAACAGTCTCACTTCCAAAAAAAGCCCTGGGCCAGATGGATTCAGCACAGAATTCTACCAGACCTTCAAAGAAGTGTTAACTCCAATTCTCTTCAAACTATTCCACAAAATAAAAACAGAAGGAACATTACCAAACTCATTCTATGAAGCCAGTCATCTCAATGCCTAAACCACACAAAGACCCAACAAAAGAGATTAGATATTTTCAAGAAAGATTACTTTAGAAAGAGGAAAGTCACATAATTAACAGTTAACTCAAAAGTAATGAGAAAATAACTGTGACTATATAGAAATAAAAACTTAATGCATAGTAAAAATAAATAAAACTATGCACTAAAAATCAAATGTGAAAAAGTAACTCCAAATGAGCAATAAATTTCCATTAATTATAAAACCATAACACATGCATATGTTTCACAATACCAGTTCAAACAAATTAAAGTCATTATACTTAGGCAAAGATGTTCTTTAAAAGATACACAAATTAAATGCAGAAGGCAACATTTTCATAAAGTATTAAGAATGGCTAACACTCAAGAACAATTAGAGCAGAGAAAGATACCTGCTCACTGCACAGCAGGCCTTTCAGATCAGTAAGCAACATAAATAGCACAGAGGCTTATTAATATTTTAAAGCTTAGGCCTTCTGCTGGTTAGTCTCTCTACTACTCTAACTCAACTAATCCTGGCAATACATCCAACCATGTGGCCAGGTCTACCTCTGTGATCTACTCTGGTCTATCTGTTTACACACATACAACCATGTCTGTTAGCGAATCCCCTTTCTCATTCCTTTTCCCAGAGTCCCTCTCTTTACCTGTAACATCTATCTTCCACTTCCTGCCTGGCTACTGGTCATCAGTTCTTTATTACAGCCAATAGGCAAGTGAGGAAGGATAAATATTTACAAAATATGAGAATGGTGATAGACTATAGCAATAACAATAATGGGGCTGAAGAGATGGCTTGGCGCTTAAGAGCATTGGTTTCAATTCCCACATAGTACCCACATAGTAATAGCTCATAACTGTCTATAACTCCTATTCAGGGACATGACATACATGCAGGCAAAACACCAATGTAAATAAAATACAATTAAATAATTATTTAAAAAACAAAGAAACAACAATAACAAGATTCAGACACTACTTAGCTCTTTTCTGGTAAAGCAATCAACAACTGACATTACAGAGACACACCTTTACACAATGTGCCCCAACAACTGAAAATCAAAATGACTATAAATAATTTCACCTGTGGTTACTTCAAATACTACTTTGAAATCTAATTCTCAATGTAATCTTTCATTAATTCTGAAAAAGACATTACCGGTAATGATCTGGCAGGGGCAGGTACATCAGTTACAGGTTTAGGTTTTGGAATGCTTTCCAACAATTCCATAATTCCTTGCAGTTTTTTATCCGAGATTCGTAATGAAAGAAGAGGTAACTTTCCAGAAATCTTGAATCTATTTTTTTAGAGACAAGAATCATTACAGAGTAAATTTTATTCTGGTTTAAGTCCACTAATTTAAAAAAGAATGAAATTAGTGATGTGCATCAGTGACAGAAGGTTTGCTGAGTAAGCAGGACATCCTGGGTTCAGTGCTTAGCACCTACACCTTAAACAAAACAAAAACAGAGAGACTACACTGAAACCCTTAAATTCAACAAATATTTAAAAATAAAAATTCTAAACCACAAATCACTACAATTTACATCTTGCCTTATAAAGCCTAGATGGAACAGCCTTAATACTGTCCAGAGGCTTATTTATTGTCTCTCTAGTATTTCCCAAATACAGATGACAACATTATTAATTATCAATTACATATGTGACTGCCATTAAAGAATTTATATGCCACCATTATATGCCCATACCTATGAGGATCACAGCCTATTTATTATTTTTTGTTATTTGTTTGTTTTGTTTTTGGAGATAGGGTTTCTCTGTGTTGTCCTGGCTGTCCTGGACTCACTTTGCACACCAGGTTAGCCTCAAGCTCACAAAAATCTGCCTGCATCTGCCTCTTGCGTGCTGAGTGCCTGGACACTGCCTATTTCTAACAGCATTTCTATGTATAAGTTCTCATATGCATATATGCTTAAGCATAGCAAGGGATTTTACATTGGAACCATAATTTAAAACTAAACCTGAGGGTTTTTTTTTCTTTTAATTGTTTTGCTTACAGCTAAGATACTGAAGTAAAGAGGGATTATGGCCCTAGAGATGACTCAGGGGAGAAAGGCACTTACCCTTAAGGGACACTTGCCCAATGACCTACGTTTGATTCCTCAGAACCCACATGGTGGAGGGTGAGAACTGACTCTATCAAGTGGTCCTTTGATTTTCACATGCCCACTGAGATACCTGCATATGCTAGCCCTCCCACCATTGTAGAGACATAATAAATAATGTCTGAAAAATTAAAAATAAGCTGGGCGTGGCACACACATTTTAATCCCAGGACTCAGGGAGGCAGAAGAGGGTGGATCACTGTGAGTTAGAGGCCAGGCTGGTCTGTCTACAGAGAGAGTCCAGGACAGCCAAGGCTATATAGAGAAATCATGTCTCAAAAAAAAAAAACAAAAACAAACAAACAAACAAACAAAAAACAAAAATGAATGAACGAACGAATGAATGAAGTCAGGCTGGGAAAATGATTCCATTAGAAAAGTGCCTGCCAACAAGCTTAAGTACCTGATGTGAGATACCCAGCACTAAATAAAGATGGACATAGTGACACACATCTGCAATGCTAACACCTTAAAGAGAGGGGCGGTAAGACAGGGGCTTACCAGCTTCTGAAGCTACCAGAACCTGTAGGCAAACTGTGTGCTTTGGGTTCAGTGTTGAAAAACAGGGTGAAGAGTGACAGAAGGATACAAGATGCCCTGCTCTCCACACAAGTGTGCATGCACACATGTCCAAATATGCACATGCACACACATGCACCAACTCTGTAAAAGGTATGGCCCGTACACAGAATATTTTAACTCACTGTTTAACTCCCATGTTTTCCCGAAAATTCATTTTTTTTTTCAAATTATACATTTTGGTTGTTAAACATTGGTCTCTAAAAATGTACCTGAATTCCTTCAGAAAAATCTTAAGCTTTATGTCTAATAACCTAAATATTTGTAATTAATCCCATATACTGTGGTTTAACTTAATTACATAACTGTAGATCAATCCAATTAATGCATCAAAACCCTTTCCTTTTTTAAATTATGGAAGATGTAAAATGTGAAGAGGCTAGGGCTCAAAATGTTACCTACTAAGTAGCAGGTTAGCTAAGCATCATTGATCATGTAACTGCATGGACAAATACAAATGTGCTATGACTTGGGTTTTTTACTACCTTTTCATTTTCTACAGAATTAAAAAAAAGAAAAATAAGTCTATGTTAATCAATGCAGAAAACATAGTTTTTGCATGTAAATGAGAGTAACAATGGTACCATTTTAAGCAGACTGTAAAAGGCTTATTTAGGATATTACATATAATCTCCATGGTAACCAAACGAACCAATATTCACAAAGTATACAAAGTATACAAAAACAGAAGTGAGAAAGTAATCAAAACATGTTACAACAAATATAAAGCTAGCACAAATACAGGCTATCCCAGAAAATGAAGGAGAACAAGCTATGAAACATACAGAAAACAAAGGTCTATGAATATGGACATCCATTTTGGAAGATTAATAATAAAGTTCTAGAGATGGATGGTGGTGGTAGTGGCTGTATAATAATATGACTTCACTAAGATGTCACTAAAATAAATATTAAAAAGAGCGTCAGTGACAAATGGTATAATATGCATACTATGTAGTAAAGTCATTTCTTTCATTTGCTAAGAAAATCTACAACTATATAACAGATAATATATAATACATACTTGGGCATCTTGATATCCATGAAAACCATGGCTTTAGAGAGTTCTACATTGACATGCATAGGTATCAAAATATGCTGTGTAGACACATTGAGCTTCCGTGCTTCTCTCCAATTATCACCTAATCATGAAAACAGTTCACACTTATTATTAGCATAGTTTTATAAGACACAAAACCAAAAATTATCTAAAGGACATACAATCAGCAAGTCTTTTTGTTTCCATTATGTTTCTTATACTTCTTCACAAGACTATGTTCTATTACAAAAGAAAAAGGCCTGTTTTTTTTTAAAAGGCAGTATAGTTTTAGCCAAACATATTCTACCACCAAAATAATGCCACCAAAAGGCAATGAAAGGGCAGAAAAATTTTAATATACTTAATAGCTATGTTTATACTTTAATTCTCATAGGGATTTGTAACATTACATTTTAGAAAACAGACTCGAAACTTTCCTATAGTCAAAATGCTAAGGCTAAAACTCAAATTCATACTTAGCCCTACAAAAGATATGACCTGAAACATTCACCTCAGTGTTAACAGGCACATGCTGGTGAAAGAATAGTTAATTTATAGCCACAGATGTAAATGTAGCCAGGCTAGGAAGATAAATCATTTCATGAAGTGCTTGCCTGTCAAGGATGAACACCCGAGGTCAGTCCCCACTACCCACTTAAAAAAAGATTGGCAAGGTACTGTATGCTTAAAATCCCAGCACTAGGAAGGCAGCAATAAACAGATTTTTAGAGTGCACTGACAAGACAGCCTGGCCTAAAATGAATAAGGCCCAGCTCCCAAAAAGACATAAAATTTACCTAAATGGACTGGGGGACAAAATTACCTGGTTTCAAACCAGGAAATGTTACCAGTCATTTTTTGATTAGTTAAAAGTCAATGTTTGTTTTTTATTTAAATAAAATCATTGTAATGGGCTTACAAATAAAATATGTCATTCAGCTAGATTAACATGTTCAATCAAACACATGCCCTGTCACATGCATCTTAGCAAATGGCTATTCTGAAGCAGATGGTCTGTGCTTAGGGCTTTACACTTTCAAAATTAACTATATTTTAATTCACTAGGCAATATTAACTATCCATTTTAACTACAATACAAGAAAGTTCCAATCACAGGAAAGTCTTCAAGTACATCTTCACAGTGTCTCAAAACCTAATTAATCACTGGTAAAAATCAATCACTGGCATCTCCTGTACTTACCTACTCTACTGTAAAGCAACTGTATGCTTGTAAGCTGAACATCAAAATAATCATAAGCTCTATGCATTATCTCTTCAAGGTTGGTCCCACTTGGTCTCACATCTGGTAATCCAGATCGACTTTTACTTGTCACCTTAAAGTTAATTTTAATAGTTTAGACCATGTAAAGTACGTCAAAGTTACTGTTTAGATCTGTAACGTAAAAATTTAATAGGAAAGAGAGTGAGCTATCCCAGAAGCAGAAAGACACACACAGTATATACTCACTCATATAGACATATAGGATAAACCTACTAAAATCTGTACATCTAAAGAAACTAATCAAGAGGGAAAACTGGCTAAAATGCTCAATCCCCATCCAGAAAGGCAAAGAGGATGGACATCAGAAGAAGGAGAAAACAGGGAACAAGTTAGGAGCCTGCCACAGAGGGCCTCTGAAAGGCTCTGCCCTGCAGACTATCAAAGCAGATGCTGAGAATAAGGCCAAACTTTGGGCAGAGGGCAGGGAATCTTATGAAAGAAGTAGAAGTTAGTAAGACCTGGAGGGGACAGGAGCTCCACAAGAAGAGCAACAGATCCAAAAAATCTGGACACATGGGTCTTCCCTGAGACTGATAGTCCAACCAAGTAGCATGCATGGAGATAACCTAGAACCCCTGAACAGATGTAGCCCATGACAGTTCAGTCTCCTAGTGGGTTCCATAGTAATTGGAACAAGGATTGTCTCTGACATGAACTGATCGGCCTGCTCTTTGATCACCTCCCCCTGAGGGAGGAGCAGCCTTATCAGGCCACAGAGGAAGACAATGCAGCCACTTCTGATGAGACCTAATTGACTAGGATCAGAAGGAAGGAAATGAAGTCCTCCCCTATCAGTGGACTTGGGGAGGGGCATGCATGCAGAGGGTGCAGGAAGGGAGGGATTGGGAAGGGAGGAGGGAGGGAACAACAGGCGGGATACAAAATAAAGTGTAATTAATAAAAAAATTAAAATAAAAAAGTATTTAAAAAATTTAATAGGAAAGAATATACAGCTATTTAAAAAAATCATTATCCATGAGATGTGCAATAAAAGAGACGTATAAGGTAACAGTCACTATATATATAGTGAATATATATATAAAACATTTTTACTCTATTTCATACAGCTCAAGGAAAGTAAATTGTCAAAATGATTATCTCACCAGGCATAGTGGCATAAGCCTTTAATCCCTGCAGTCAGGAGAGCAGAGGCAGACAGATCTCTGTGAGTTCTTCAAGGCCAAATATATATAATTAGCTATATAAACTTTATTGTATTTATAATATAAACATATACCCAGTGGGTCTACTTAACTACTAAGTACAAAGGAATGGGAAGAGACAAACTTCTTAGGCAGCCAGAAGTCATATTGCGCTATCTGTGGACGTCAGTGGGTACTCTTCCAGACTTAATGACAGAACAGCGATAACAGAAGTACTCTGCATCTGGGCTCAGCAGCCACCAGCCAGCTATAACTAGTAAGCACTTAAAAGAAGCTCAAGTTTTTATTTATTTTTTTTATTTTATTTTTTTTTAAGTTTTTATTTTTAATTAATTAATTATTCTTTAACTGTAATAATCACATGACGTTAATGGGTACTATACTGAACAATTCAGATGTAGAATTATAAAGAAATGTTTCTACTTAACTTTTTGGAAGAAAACATTCATATAAACAAAAAGGAAAATGATACAATTAAGACCTGTCAACTTAAATATTTAAGTTATTAAAATTATACTTTAGCTACATATGCAATTAAAAAAAATATATATATATATATAGTGTAAACTTCTCCAGAAAGATTATTACCTGACTTTGTTCTATACACTGAGTCAAGTAAGATTTAAACTGAAGAGTAAAAAGCTTAGGCATGACTTTCAAATCTGTAAATACAATTCTTACCTGGCATGCAGGGCTCAAATGAAAATTTCTGATTTTGGAAATACAGGGAGGACAAAAATTACCTGATGAAGTGAAACTTTATTCACCAAGCACTTAAATCTTATTAAGGATTTCTGCTATATATTTAAACATCAATAATCTTAACCAAACTATCTAAAACCAGTGTATAACCTGGGATTATAAAGATTGCTCAGGAATTAAGAGCGCTTGCTCTTCTTGCAGAGGATTTGGGTTCAGTCCCCGACACCCACATGGCAGCTCACAATAGCCTGTAATTCAAGCTCCAGGAAATCTGGGAGCTTCTGGCTTCCTTGGGCAGTACATACATGTAGCATACCTACATACATGCAGAAAAACACTCACACATAAGTACACTTTAAACAAAAGAATATCACAAATGTCATGGCACCAATCAAACATTTATCAGTGTATACCTTTAAATGACCAAGATCCAAGAGAAGTAGATTTGATGTAGGGCTAAAAGTTCCATCTTGTGGGACAATAACATAGGAAGCCTTCACATTAATTCTGAGATCAAGAACTTTCTGTGTTTCAATAATATACAGCAAACCTGTAAAAGGATTAAAGCTTTGCAATGAGTAGTTTTCACAACCTACTTTATAAAAATAAAGCATAGACTCAAAAAACATGAAATGATATTGCAATAAAAAATATATAAAATCAGTGCTGATTTTAAAACACCCTACAGAAAAGCCAGGTGTGGTGGCACATACTTTTAACTGGAGAGATTGAGGAAGACCGATCTCTGTGAGTTCACGGCCAGCCTGTTCTACTGTTCTACAAGTTAAATTCCTAACCATCCAGGGCTACACAATAAGAATTGTATTTATAGATTAGAAAGTCATACCTAAGTTTTTTTACTATTCAAAAATCAAAAGAATACAAACATACCCTAGAACAAAGAATTTACAAATAGATTTACATCTTTCGGTGGCCAATACACATACAACTAATTAATCAAAGAACAGAACTGAAGCAACCCCCACCAAACAGTAAATCGGGGAGAAATTTTAAAAATCTCAGGTTTATATGTCTGTGTGAATGTATGCCCCCGTAGAGGAAAAAAGAGTCTGGTGGATTTCCTGTAGCTAGAGATACAAGTGGTGCTGGGAACGGAATTCGAGTCCTCTAGAGGACCATCAAGTGCTCTTAAGATCCTGAGCCATTGGGATGGAGTGTACACAGAATATGTGCTGAAGAGAGTAGAGGACAATTTCTGCTTGTGGTCCTCAGACAACTTCTACTTTTGAGACAGGAACTCTCACTGGCCTGTAATATGACCAAGTAGGCTAGGCTAATTTCCAAGGGGCCATCTTTGTTGCAAACCCCATCTCACCACTGCTGTGACTACAGGAGTACACAATAACACCTGGCTTTTTACATGAGGTTTTTTTTTTTTTTGTCTTTGTGAGCTAAATATCTTTCTATCTGGTGGTCCAGGGATCCAAACAACACAGGTCCTCATGTTTATGAAGCCAAGTGTTTTATCAAATGACACACATATACAGCCACCAAAAAAAAAAAAAAAAAAAAAAAAAAAAAAAAAAAAAAAA